GTCGGCGCTGGAGTCGCACTGGTCGGAGCGCAACGCGAAGGACGAGCTGATGGCCCCGCTCGGGGGCGCCGGCCTCTACACGGAGCTGACGCTGGGCGCCTTCGTCGACCTGGGCTACTACAAGGCGGACTGGGCGGCGGCGGAGCCGATGGCGTGGGGCAAGAACTCGGGCTGCGAGCTGCTGGAAAAGAAGTGCGCCCAACTCAGTTTGGATAAATACCCCAAAATGTTCTGCAGTGGAAGCGATTTCCACCTGCGCTGCACCTCGGACCGGTATTTCAGCGGTCGGTGCACAGGGAGCATCATGGAGCCGTCGCCAGGAGCGGCACCGGACTCCTGCCCCGTCATTGAGCCCGTGATAAGCGTGAGGGATCTTGCCACTGTCTTTAAGCAGGGGGCGCATAAACCGGCGAGGCCTGGCGACCAGCCCTCCTCGTGGTGCCTGGACACGGCTCCCACCACGGTGAAAGGCTGCGACGGAGGAGGATGAGGACAAGCTCGTTGCCGCCGTGCACGCGGAGGTAAAGTGCCTTGGCGCTGAAGTGAAATTGAAAATGAAGAAGAGCAGCGGGGAGGATTGGATGTCGTGCACGTCTGGGGCGGAGGTTCCGTGGGAGATTCCGCCCTTCGACGCCGACAAAGTGAAGTGCCCCGAGTACGATGAGGTGTGCACGATATCCGCCATTGGCGGCAGCGTCCGCACGGGGTTTGAATGGGACGGCAAGGACAAGGTGTGGAAGAGAAAGGCCCCTGTGGAAGAGCCGGAGCCAGCCCCAGAGTCAGCGCCGCCAGTGGCCGGCCCTGCTGAGGTTGGGCCCGCGATCGCGCTGCCTCCCGAAGAAAACAGCGCCGGTGGTGGAGGCGGCACCGGCGGCAGCAGCGAGCCGGGCAGCGGTGTGCCGTCGACGGGGCAGGGGCTCCCCGCAGCGGACCCGGAGGGCGCGCAGGAGCCTGTGCCCGGGGAGGGCGGGGTTGCGGCGCCGGAGGCAGGGGACATCGAGGGCAGGCCTCCCGAGAGCAGCCAC